TCTTATCTTAGCTCTTATCTATCACAAATAGCAGATGATTTGTAATAGATAAGAAGCCTGAAGAGCTTCAAGAAACGTTGTGTTTTCTTTCTTCTCTTTTCAGCAGGGAATAAACCTATTACTTGTTCCACTGCTCTGATCATTTGTATAACTGTATATTTGTGTGCATGGCATGATCTAGTGAACAAAATTGTTCATTCTGAAACTGAATGGGCAGAAACTAACACTGACTATACAGTGTGTGTACGGTGATGAGGAAAAGCTTGTGTGGCTGCTACTGTGCCAGGAGCCCCATGACAATGCAATCTTCCTCGGACTGCAGTAAACCTTTCCTCCGAGGCACAACAAGCAGACAGGCGGCTCGGCTACTCACTGGGAATCGTTGTCACCACCTCTCCCACTTGCAGCCTGTACAGGATAGTCGTCTTCCCAGCTCCGTCCAGCCCCAGGATCAAGATCCTCATCTCCCTGGTCCCAAACAGGCTGGAAAACAGGCTGGAGAAGAAGCCACCTTCAGCAAGAGGGAGAGAGGAAATCGATCAGGTTGATTAATGCTGAAAGGAAATCAATCACCACATGCTCCTCTCAGCACCATTTGTTTTCTTTGGGCAGCACAGTGTATTTTCAGATCTGTTCCCCCCCCCACCTGAGGCGGATTTCAGCTCCTGAGTTTTTTTATTTTCCACTCCACAAAAACAAAACAACCGCCTCTCAGACAACAATAAGGGAAGACTGTCCAGAGAAGGCGAGTTTTAGGATAACACACACAAATCAGATTTTCTCATCGTTTTCCCCACTAGTCCAACACTTGACAATCAGCTTCATTTGCAAGGATGGAGGTTGTTCCGTCTGACAACGATTTCGGTATTAACTCACAGTCAACACCCACATTTTCAGTAAACTGTAATACAAATATTAGTCCCACACAGTCAGCCATAGTTTCCTAGTCTTCTAAGAGATCCTTTCAGTAAAAAAAAAAACATATCGTGATCTCTGCTAATCTTTTTAATCACGTACAAATCGGCATTAATCCGAAACAATTACAGATATTGTATTTCTACAATAACAAAATGTTTTTAGACGCTCTTAAATTTACCATTACAACACGAAACAATACAAAATCGTCTCTAGGATGAACTATGTAGGTGCCTCATCAGCTGTTTTGCTACTGTTTTTTAAATCATTTATTTGAACTTAGAAATAAGAACGTTTAAACAGCTTAAAGTAAAGCTGCTGTTGCACTGCAATTTCCCTCACGGGATCAATAAAGTATCTATCTGTTTATTTACTGCTTTAATCTACCTTACTCATATATCAAAACCTGTAGGAGTAACCAACGTGCATCTGGTGTTAATACTACGGTACAGTGTCAGTCCTATCCTTACACCTGAAAACTAATTTGACCCACAGACCCCAGGAACCGCCGCATTCTTCTGAACCTGTCGAAGGAGTAACGATTTTAAGTGGCCCTTCCCAAGCAACAGACTAACCCTCACTGAATATGAATCGATCAGCAGTCGACCATTTCGTTTCCTGGTAACTGAAAAACGCATACATCCGTTACTCGGCACAACGTTCATTCGGTGGATCTAACCTTACTGCACGCATCCAGTTTCAATTTGCGATTGGAGAGTTATCTGACAGCTTACCCATGTCTTGTTTGCTGTAGGTTTGTATTTCCAGCTGCTGTTGTGATGCTCCTGTCCAGCAGTGCCCTGCAGACAGTGACGTGTCACTGACCTGCAACACAGCTATCTAACGCTTAAGGAGACCAGATTCGACAAATGCATGAACCTGTTCCTCAAAATACGATGTTCTTAAAACAGGTTTAAATACTCTACGGTAGACGCAAGTTGTATTCCTTAGTTATTATGTTTCTGACTATGCATAGGCGTGTGTATTTTTTTTTGTATTATTGAAAGATATTTGAAGGAAAGTGCTGCTCATTGTAAGGTTTACACTCACTTCCGTAAACGCATGGCAAAATGACAAGTACCTCGGACACGTGATCAAGACCATGCAACCAGAAATAAGTATCAGAAGTACCGCACCTGCTTGTATTTAAACAAAGTCCTTTTACAATTTTGCTACAGTAAAGTTACATTTTGTGCACATATTTTCACTTATTTGAAATCATACTGTTCAGTTCGACACAGTCTTACTGGGTGTATCTAATCTTGTTGATTAAATATATAAGAAAACAGCGTTTTCAGATATCCACAGCACATATTTTTGTACAAAGTAGACTTTGTAGAAATATCCTCGTTTGTACAATGCCATGTCTGGTATGATATAGCATTTCATCAACTAGAATTAAGTAGCAGTTCAACTCCTGCAAGCTAAATTGACTTAATAAATTTAAACATGTTGAACTACAACTTAGAAATTATTGGTAAAAATCTATTAAAAATTAAAAATGACCTAAAAATAAATGAGAAACCACTCATCCAGTTCTGTTGTCCATCTCTGATTTTTTCTTCTTGTTATTCTAGTTACTTTTCCCCATTTCAGTGATGTCTGTGATCTGTGGCATCTAACGTTACTTTTAAATCATTTAACCTTCTGTACTAAATACAAATATGCTTTTCTGTTATTATTACTTGTGCACTACATTTCAACTTCTTCTAAAAGCAAAACTCATAAATCATGTATTTGTCACGTACTGTATACAGTATATTCTATATTATTACATGAACATATATACTGTATTTATTAGACAAATAATAATTCCATACACTTATATAGCGCTTTTCAGGTAATGAGGTATTTTTGGTACAATAATTTGTCCTTCATAACCAAACCATATCACTCAAACTACATTAGACATCCTTTGTGTGGTGGTATTTGCAGACTGACAAGGCTTCTCTGTGAGTCACAGAAGAAAACTTTCCTGTTGGAAACTTTCTTCAGATATTGTTACTAATGTTTGGTCAGAATGGAGTTACACTACACAATAGTCAGGCTGTTATTATTATTATTATTATTATTATTATTATTATTATTATTAATAATTATTATTATTATTATTATTATTATTATTATGGTCTCAGAGATTTTGAATTTTACTAACTACATGGTTTCAGCAGTTACAGTACCTTTCCTTAAACTTACAGTATGTTCCTAAGGAAGCATCAAGTACCTTTTATATACAATAACTTCCCACAGTGGACATTTGATTAAAAAAGATCAAGTTCTGCATGCTTTCCTCATTTCAGCTGTATAAAGGAAAATTGATACCTATTCAGCTACATAACACTTACACTCTATCACAGTCCTTGTGAAATGAGAGGATTCATCTGTTTTATTTTCTTTTTTGGGGTTTAAGGGCTAGTTGTGAAGGTAAGACATATATTTTACATTTCCTTTTAAAGTTGTAAATTCTTCACATTACAGTTTCAGCCTTGAGGTTGCTGTCCACACGCTCTGCTCTCACAGACTAGAGATTCAGAGCGATGGTTTGTGAGAAAGTCAGCAGTCAGCCTGGTGCCTCTTGAACTGGAAAGAGAAGACTGAGGCATGAAAGATGAAAATCGCTTGACATGTGCCAGATGTGTCCATGTGTGAAAACCTGATGATATTGTTGGGGAAAAATGTTAATAAAGACAAATCGAGATAGGAAAAATATAGATTATTTTATCTTTTGTTCTGTAATCTTGTGAACAAACAAGCAGTCCAAAACATTACAGTTTTATATTAATGAGTAATAATAATGAACTGTATTTTATACAGTATAATATTTAAAGAAAAGCAACCATCTCACACTTTTCATGCTGATTGAACACAATCAGTACTGACAATTCTGTAGATGATCTGTTACCCTTTATTTTTTAGGTATTCACCAGACTACCAAAATGATTATAACCATCTTTTTTTTATTTCAGTTTTCTTACACTGTATATGTGTGTCCCGCGATGGACTGGCGTCTTGTCCAGGGTGTGTGAGTGTGTGTGTCCCGCAATGGACTGGCGTCTTATCCAGGGTGTGTGAGTGTGTGTGTGTCCCGCGATGGACTGGTGACCTGTCCAGGGTGTGTGAGAGTGTGTGTGTCCTGTGATGGACTGGCGTCCTGTCCAGGGTGTGTGAGTGTGTGTGTCCTGTGATGGACTGGCATTCTGTCCAGGGTGTACCCTGCCTCGTGCCCACTGCTTGCCAGGACAGGCTCTGGCTCCCCCGTGACTCTGTACAGGATAAAACAGTCAAAAAATGGATGGATATTTTTTCACAAAACTTGTCGATACTGATGTGAGCACAAATATTGCTTCATACTGCTAGAAGTTCAGAAGAAGTTATATTTTGTCCTCAATTATTTTTACTTATCACAATGTCAGTAGCCGGGTGAATCCTTTTTATTATTGCTTTCGTCAAATGTTGTAACAGTTTTCAAAGATTTTGATTTATGAATATTAATACATATATGGCCTTTAACTTAAAAAAAAACATACACTGCCCTAAAGAGTTACAGCAAGAATATTGGAACCTTAATTTTAGGTTTATTTGTTATTGGGTATTCAATTCTAAAATACAAATGTGAACTGCTTATGCTTTGGTCTCAAAACATGATTTTAAACACGCTCACTGTGCTCTTCTTAGTGTTCATTCTCTCTCCTCCTGTGACAGATTTGAAGAGATTCATGTTTACACAGAACATAAGAACCTAAGAGAGGTTACAAATAAGTAAAGGCCATCAAGCCCGGCTGTCCTGTCTGGTAGTTTGTATTGAATAAGATCCAAAGATCTCATTCAGCTCTTTGTTGAGAGAAGCCACGGTACCTGCTTCAATAACAAAGCTGGGTAGCTTGCTCCACACTCCCACAACACTTAGGGTAAAGGAGTGCTCTCAGTATTGACTACACTTCCACACAATTGTCGCTTTTGTCCTCTGGTTCATGTTTCCCACAGCAGTGGAGAAGGCCCTTTCACCAATCTGAACACACACAAAACAATTCTCCTTAGCTCCTCTTCTGAATTTTCTGAGAATAAGTTATGCTCGCCATCCTAAGAGCAAACCTACAGTACCAACAGGGAAACAAAATTTGTGAACAGTTCTTTTAAAGAATTACTGTTTTCCCTGAGGCTATTTTGAATTGTTACTGAGGAAGAAACTGTTTCATTGATGGTAGTTCCCCAGTGCCAAATCCAATAATTTTTCAAATGCGCATTTTAAAACAGAAAGCAAGTTTTCTATTTAAATTTTATAGATGAAAGCTAATTGCCGAGCTCAACTTCTTAAATGCATAAAATGTTGAAATACATGTTTCATGAGGCTTTTTTTTTACAAGAGCCACCCACAATAACATTTGAGGCGCGAGAGCACCAGGATTAAATAAGGAGGGGCAGGATTGGGGGCAGGTGCTCGTAATTAGCAAAATAAGAAAGAACCGGAGCGCCCTTAAGAGGAGGGATCACAATCGTGACAAGAACTGCCCCTTGCTGTCTGTATGAAACCTAGCTCACTCAGTAGTTTAAACTAAGTGTAAAGTACTATGAAGAGGAATGCATGAAGATACTCTCACATTTTTATTAAAGCTATAGTTTTTAAAATCTTTTAAATAATGATTTATTATTATTTAATTTATTCATGCTCCTACACAAATCCTCCAGTTGAGAGTCTGCAATAAAGGACCCAAAGAATCTAAAAGCTTCCCAGCTCAAGGCCAAATATATCTATAGATTTTGCCTAAGCTATTTGAATCAAATGGCTTTTTTAATTCCTTTTTGGGAACATATCTATAGCAAACAAATTACGCCTAGGGATGTTTTTTTGCATCAAGAAATGATGTTCTGTCTGTACAACTGAAACACATTTTGGAGTACTTTCACAATGCTTTTCTGTTTTGATTAATCCAAACATTTCTGGCTCCAACATGCCAAACAATATGGTCTTTAACATCATCCCTGAAGACATGGTCTTCCCTCTTTGTATTAATATTACTGGATAGAACACTGAATTGAATACATACAGTATTGTAACACATACGGGCAACATTAGGTTGTGCGAGCTGGCTTACCAGCGCGGTGATGCACCGCCTTTCCCTGTGAATAGCAGGGACCGCAGCTGCCAGGCTGAGGGGAGATCTACCTTTAGCTCAGCTGGCTGGGTCCCTATTGAGTGATGCCGGGGGCCCGGGTTCAAGCCCCCAGTGGTGGAGGGCTGACCTGAGATGGCAGCAGTGAGGGCACATACCCATGTGAACCTGAAAGTGCTACAATACTTTATCATAAAATCGGACTCATCTGATTTCTATCTTTGTTATGGTTGTGCACGTAGGTAATAAGGAATTAAAAAAAGATTTGATTCATAAATAAACACTTCTGTGTTTCCTTTTGGTATTGCTGTTGGATTCCTTTCCCCTAGTTTACAGAACCAATACTCCTGCAGATAAACTTATAGTCCTTCCACTGAACTATGCTTTGTTTGTTTCAAATCTATCACTACATTTCCTGCTTGCAAAACCTACCACTATGACATTGTGCATACCATCAGACCGGGGTTTGCAAAATGTACATATCGAGGCATCTGAATAAATAGCCAGGATCTGAAAGAAAGGCTTCACATATCAAAGCAAGGTTGTGATGGGTCAGAGGGCGTGCCTAGTGTGTAAAACCCTTGGTTACAGCATAATGAGTATGGTTGTGCAAAAGCTATTGACTCATGAATAGCACCCCCCTATCCCCATGTACTGCCTGTCTAATGGTGCCGTATTGAAAAAATCATTAAAAAATTAAGAAAAGTTTCACAACACAAAACAATGCTGTGAAACGTGAGGGGCGCTG